AGCTTGGAAACTTGACTATATTACTTATCAGAATTGGCATTCTTGGAGGATCTTGGATGATACTATAAGACAGTTTAAAGAAGCTGGATATGAAGTACCCAACATTACTAATAATCATTATCATCTTTTGCGTGCCCATTCTATTGCTGAATATGTTTCCAGAAAGGGTGAGGATGAAAATTTAACTGTATCCACCTTTATTCCATTTATTAACCATGCTGCTATTTTATCCCCTTATAATACTCCTTCTACTAATCCTCCTAATACTGAACTTCCAATAATTAATAATGATCCACCCGTAATTCCTTCTGTTAATTCCCCATATACTGATTATAATTATTCTGAATATACTCCTACCATTTATGAACTTCCCAGTTGGCTTGATCCACGCCTTTACCCATCTTCTCCTTCTTAATAATACTATTCTTCTATTAAATGTACTTTGATAACTAGTGAAACATATCCATTATTTTTAATCTTTATATTTTAAACTCTTTTCTTTTATTCTTTTTTTAATCTTATATATATATATATTTATATTTAGTTATTTGAAATTAATATTATTATATGCTTTAAGTAATTATAATTGCGCCTCTTCCTCATCAGTGACCTCCTCCTCTTCTTCTGCTGTTGGAATAATACCCCTTGGATAAAATCTTTTGACGTGTTCTGCTGCATATCTTCTTGTCCACTAGTCCTGACTCACATTATCTTTCTTAAAAAGATGGCTCCATCTTTACCCAGCTTGTGCTGGAAAAGGATGGAGCCCGTGTGGGCTAGAAGCCCTCTCAAGAACTACTAAGAGTCTTGAGGGGGCTAGTTTTAAGGGATTACCCTTACCTGTTCCTTTGGGGTGGGTTTTTTCCCTGCCATTTGGAACGTGCAAGGGTCCTTCCTTAGAAAGACGTGGGCAGGAGCCAGAGTCTCCCCTATCTCAGGGCTCGTGGCGGTCCTGAGCCTCTATGGCTCTCGCCCCCATACCGTCGCTAGCCTCACACCCAACGCAGTGATCACAATGACTATTTCACTTTACTGTCGTCTGTATGGAAACTGTGCATTACAAAGTAGTAGATTAAACCAGCAGGGTGCGGACAAACGTGTGCGTCGCCTACTCGTAGGAAGGAAGTGTGTCGCCTGTCATTGATATGACTCGCTGCGCGCTCCTCCAGTCCGCGTCTGACCATTCCCTCTGGTAAAGAGCGTGGCAATCTGACTTCCACCTCCCCAACTTTTTGATTGCCTCGGTAGGTACCCCCGCCCTTGTTAATAAAGTAGCTCCACCAATCCGAAAGGAGTGGCCCTTCATCGCTGACGTGACTCCCCAGGCCCGTCTTATGGTCCGTTGAAAGATTGGTAAAGTTATCGGGCTAGTTCCCCCATTGTCCCAAGTCATAAACAGGCGTGGATCCTTCAGCCGATCCATTCTGTGCATGAGTCGGCCCACTGCCCGGAACGGGCACAGACGGCCACCAGTTTCGCATAAGATAAGGAACTGACACTCTCCGTGTTGTGCTGTCTTCGCGTCCCGGAGAGTTATACGAACTGTCCTGCAATCTTTTATCTTCACGAATTCGACGTCCGACCGAAGGATGGCCTGTACGTCGCTTTTTCTGTGAGCTGTTGACTTGTACACCAGTTCGCCTATCCTAGCCAAACCCCAGTAAGCCACCAGCATTAATGTCGTTAGACCTACTGGGTCGGCTTCTTCTTGTCGAATATCTTCTAAAAGCGACAACAGGGCTTTCGGGGTGACTGGAAGCCTAGTTGACTTCGTCAGGTCCGCTTCGACCTCTAGCCTCGTCGTAGACCTCACAATCGACGTAGTCTGTCGGATAGGGCTAGTTCTCTTCTCTTATT